GTTAAAATTTAACATCTCTTTTGCTTTCCCTTTTGACACTTTTTAATTTGTTCTAGTTTCTATTATTTTTGCTTTCACTTGGATTGAGGTTTTCCTGTGGTTTTTTGTTTTTAATTCTGTATTAGGAGAAATTTCAGTGTATACAGAAGTACAACCGTATAATGAGGCCCTGGTACACATTCCCCGGTCCCAACAACCTTAAATGCATGGCCAGCCTTGCCCAGTCACATGTTCATCCACTTCCTCCTGTATTATTTTAAAGCAAATACCAGGCATACTATCATTTCATCTATAAATATTGTGCTATGTATCGCTCTTTTTTAATTAAATCATTTTATTGGCTTGTACAACTCATCACAATCCACACATGCTATGTATCTCTTAAAGATAAAAGATTTCCCCTGCTTTTTTTTTTTACTTTACCAAAACTATTAACAAGTTTCTTCATCTAGTGTTTATATTTCCAATTGTCCTTTTTCCTTTTTAATTAATTAGGATCTAAATAAATAGTGATGTGGGGTCCACATCTGCTCTCTGGCTCCCATAGCTGATGGCCATGTTTCCACCCTCTTAACCCCACTCTGACACTAACCATTCCTCCCATTGCACTTTACTTACCACACACACTGCTTTCCTGCTGCATTTGATAATAAATTACAAATACCACACAGAATGCCCAGATGATATGGCTACTGGGCTGATCAGAGAAGTTACCCTGTTACAATCCATGTGAGAAATGCTCCAGATACAGCTGTTCAGTCAGGACAGTGCCGTCTCTGCTGTGCCAACAGGTAGGCCTCTCTGGTCTTCGGCCTCTCTGGCCCATTGGCCCCTGCCCTGCTTGGTAATCCTGCAGAGCTCTTTTGGAGCTGGCAATAAATGCCCACAGGGTATATACCACTCCACTCACCCCAAAGGCACCAGCTCTGTTTCTATGGGCAAGCAAGCCCAGCTCTCCTAAGTAAGGTCCTTGAATCAGTTACTCCACTACACAAGTCAGTGTCCTTCTCAGAAGTATTCTAGTTCTACTTGCTCTGTGGCCTGGGAAATCCACTACTCTGGCTCCTGGTTCTGTTGCTGCTGTTCCTCTGCCATTCCTCTGATGTTAAAGCAGTACCTAAATCCAGGAGAACGAATGCCCAGAGATCTCAGGGTCCACAGGACATGCTCCACTCCTGTCTGTTTTGTTGGTAGTGAGATCTCCCCTACTTCTGAGATGACTGATTTTATACCCACCACAATTAACACAACCTGTTCCGTCACAATTGTATCATATTTAAAATCAGTCTCTTCTAGCATCTTCTTACCCAGACACATCAGGAAAACGGGGATCATTTGGTAGGAGTAACAGAGGCTGTGGCTGGAAGAGCTGTATTAAATAATCCACTGCACTTCAGGTTCCAAGTGAAGTCCATACTTTATGACTGAGTGATGTTTGTCACCCCTTCTCCATTTATTAGCCATTATACTTTTTTTTTTTAACATTTTATTAGGGGCTCATACAACTGTTATCACAATCCATACACACGTCAATTGTGTAAAGCGCATTTGTACATCATTCTCAAAACATTTTCTCTCCACTT